TCTTCTTCTTCTTCTTCTTCTTCTTCTTCTCTCTTCTTTCTTCTTCTTCTTCTTCTTCTTTCTTCTTCTTCTTCTTCTTCTTCTTCTTCTTCTTCTTCTTCGTCTCTCTTCTCTTCTTCTTCTTCTTCTTCTTCTTCTTCTTCTTCTTCTTCTTCTTCTTCTTCTTCTTCTTCTTCTTCTTCTTCTTCTTCTTCTTCTTTCTTCTTCTTTCTTCTTCTTCTTTCTTCTTCTTCTCTTCTTCTTCTATTCTTCTCTTCTTCTTCTTCTATTCTTCTCTTCTTCTTCTTCTCTTCTTCTCTTCTTCTTCTTCTTTCTTCTTCTCTTCTTCTTCTTCTTCTTCTTCTTCTTCTCTTCTTCTTCTTCTTCTTCTTCTTCTTCTTCTTCTTCTTCTTCTTCTTTTCTTCTTCTTCTTCTTCTCTTCTTCTTCTTCTTTCTTCTTCTTCTTCTTCTTCTTCTTCTCTTTCTTCTTCTTCTTCTTCTTCTTCTTCTTTCTTCTTCTTCTTCTTCTTCTTCTTCTTCTTCTTCTTCTTCTTCTTCTTCTTCTTCTTCTTCTTCTTCTTCTTCTTCTTCTTCTTCTTCTTCTCTTCTTCTTCTTCTTCTTCTTCTTCTTCTTCTTTTCTTCTTCTTTTCTTCTTCTTCTTCTTCTTCTTCTTCTTCTTCTTCTTCTTCTTCTTCTTCTTCTTCTTCTTCTTCTTCTTCTTCTTCTTCTTCTTCTTTTCTTCTTCTTCTTCTTCTTCTTCTTCTTCTTCTTCTTCTTCTCTTCTTCTTCTTTTCTTCTTTCTTTTTCTTTTCTTCTTCTTCTCTTCTTCTTCTCTTTCTTCTTCTTCTCTTCTTCTTTCTTCTTCTTCTTCTTCTTCTTCTTCTTCTTCTTCTTCTTCTTCTTCTTCTTCTTCTTCTTCTTCTGCTTGCTTCTTCTTCTTCTGCTTGCTTCTTCTTCTTCTGCTTGCTTCTTCTTCTTCTGCTTGCTTCTTCTTCTTCTGCTTGCTTCTTCTTCTTCTTCTTCTTTTTCTTCTTCTTCTTTCTGCTTTCTTCTTCTTCTTCTTCTTCTTCTTCTTCTTCTTCTTCTTCTTCTTCTTCTTCTTCTTCTTCTTCTTATTCTTCTTCTTCTTCTTCTTCTTCTTCTTCTTCTTCTTCTTCTTTCTTCTTCTCTTCTTCTTCTTCTTCTTCTTCTTCTTCTTCTTCTTCTTCTTCTTCTTCTTCTTTCTTCTTCTTCTTCTTCTTCTTCTTCTTCTTCTTCTTCTTCTTCTTCTTCTTCTTCTTCTTCTATCTTCTTCTTCTTCTCTTTCTTCTTCTTCTTTCTTCTTCTTCTTCTTCTTCTTCTTCTTCTTCTTCTTCTTCTTCTTCTTCTTTCTTCTTCTTCTTCTTCTTCTTCTTCTTCTTCTTCTTCTTCTTCTTCTTCTTCTTCTTCTTCTTCTTCTTTCTTCTTCTTTTCTTCTTCTTCTTCTTCTTCTTCTTCTTCTTCTTCTTCTTTCTTCTTTCTTCTTCTTCTTCTTCTTCTTCTTCTTCTTCTTCTTCTTCTTCTTCTTCTTCTTCTTCTTCTTCTTCTTCTTCTTCTTCTTCTTCTTCTTCTTCTTCTTCGTCGTCGTCGTCGTCGTCGTCGTCGTTTTTTTTAGGTTGCAGCTGGTACTATTAGCGTGTCGACTATTTGTAAACTACTGAGGAGATAGACGGAGCACCTATATGAATGTCACGAGTGTAGTGATGTCTGTTGCTGACTGATCACAATTTAGTGTTACAGAGGAGCCGCGGCGACTTAGGGGCTAGATGTTCGTCTACAAGCCCTAAAATCGTAAAATAGGGTCCACGTGGAGCGATAGGAAGTAAAGGCGGACGGCATGAGATTAACCGCATCAGCCACCGAGGGCAGGTTGGTCTACAAAAATATATTAGTGTAGCTCAGCGGCTCTAAAACCTCGTAATGCGCGACCCTGTAATAAATTTGCCTCATGTTGTAGTGACCCCTACACAATTATTTTCCCTAAAAACTTTAATGAATCTGTGTTTTCCGATGGTCTTACGCGACCCCTGTAAAAGGGTCGTTCGACCCACACACACAAAAAGGGTCGCGACAGATTAATAACGGCTGGTCTGGCAGATTTGAGGTTTTTGAACAGTGGACCAGCATCATAGCACACTGGTGTAACCCATAAGTGCTCCGTTCTACTTTTAACTCAAGTCCAAGTCCGAAGAAGCTCAGCACAGTGCACAAGCTCTGTAGCACCGGCGAGGATACTGAAATACCTTGGGTAGAATCTTCCCTGGGCAGCACAGTTAGGCTACTATTTTCAATTTCCAACTGCCAAGGGGATTTTTTTACGTGCGCAACAATGCACACGGGCATCCGATCTCACCATTCAGATACCAGGAGAATTACGAGGTCCAAGTCCACTTCTCTTACTGAAATAACTTTTTTTTTTTAAAAATAGGATGACCGTATATTACACCTACAATGACTAGGGTTCAGTCTCCTTCACCTTGATAGCCAGTTATAATCCCCCAATCTATGTTGTAGATTGAATATTTGTGCGCATGTGCGTAAGCAAGTGGGCACTTACATCATCCACCTAGATGATAAACCCGTCTTGTTATTGGAAATCCATCCATGTATGTGTGGGTGCGTGTGTACGTCTGTGTATGCATGCCTAATTATAATTGTGTGTGTGTGGGTTTTTTTCCGTCTGTGTATGCATGCTTAAGTGTAATGATGTGTGTGTGTGTGTGTATGTGGGTGTGTATGTGGGTGCCAGCGTCTGGATATATGACTATCTAGGTCTATCGATGTAAACGGCTATACCTATCACATAAAGCTGCAGTCTTATCAAATATATTGTCGGTTGTAAAGAAAAAGCGAGATATATTTGATGCCTATCTATCTTTGAGGCGCTGGTTGTGATTTCGTTAAGTGAAGCTTTCCCAACTGGACAGGACAGTTCCGTTTATAGAAGTTTGTTGCAAATTGCTTGTTGTGGGTCTTTCTTTGTTGAGTTATGGTTGCCCAAGATGAGGAAAATAGAGAAGGTAGGGCTTTTTGAAGTGTGTGATGAGTTTGTTTTGTCTTTTTAAACAGCAATTTTTGTATTTGTTTTTGTTGCACACATTCCTCCTCTGTTACATATATAAACATACATACAGAATACACGCACGCACACACGCACGCACACACACACACACACACACACACACACACACACATATATATATATATATATATATATAAAACGTGCCTATTTAGCTCAGCGTTTACTGGACGTAAATTTGCCTAGAAAAACCACACAACAGCCAGGGGCTGTTGCTGTTGGTTCTACAACGTCTTGTAAAGGATACGCAACTAACCTATTCAGCTTTAGTTTGGCGCATGCTTTCTGCTTCTTATCCTCCTCCTCCTCCGTCTTCTTTTTCTTTTTCTTTTCTTTCCTTATTCTCCTTTTTTTCTCCTCCTCCTCTCCTCCTCCTCCTTATTATTGCTGTTTCTTTATCACCCTCGCCGTGTACTGCCGCTACTATTACTGCCACTCTCAGCACCACTATTATCACTACTACTACACTACAACCTCCACGGCTACTACTACTACTGCTGCTGCGACTGCTACTACTATTCTTGCGATGCTGGGTTGAAAAGCACAGCTGTAAACGGCCGTGCCCTACATCAACCCCCCCCCCCCCCCGCCATTCCGCCGTCTCCTTACAGACTCTGGTCTTGCCAAATCCCCATCACCCACATCTGTTGCACATAGGGCGACGCCACCCACTCTACCACCGGTCTCATCCAAGCCCTGCTAACAACTGATCTCACCCCTTCTCAAAGCAAACGTACATTGGATCATTTGTCTTACAGGTCGGCATGTTTTTTTTTTTTTTTTTTAACTGGGACGCTGTCTTGCACATCTGCTGGTTGTCTGCACGGAATGTTGGCTTTTGGAATTTTCTACATTTAACACTATCAGGTGGCGTGCAGTGTGCAAGTGCCTCAGATAATGTAGCCTGGTGACTTACACAATATACTACTACTGCTGTTGTTGCTAATGTAGCAGTATTGCTGCTACTGCTGCTGCTGATACTTGTTGCTGTTGATGCCACAAATACTGCTGCTGCTTCTACTACTGCTGCTGCTTTGACATGTCAACTACTGCTACTACTTTTACTGTTGCTACTATTACCGCTGCTGCTGCTACTACTACTACTACTTTTACTGATGCTACTACTACTGCCACTACTACATTCTTTATCTCCCTCCTCCTCTTGTCGTTACGTCAGTAAAGTGTTGGAGGAAGAAGTCAGTCACTGGAACCTGCAAAACTTACTGGAAGGCGTGATCAAGGAGCCCGGACTTTTGGGCGTGAACCCAGGACTTCTACCCAGCATTGGTACCGTCACAGCCTCATAGAAATACCCCATTCTCATACTTGTTTTACAAGACTAAATCCTGCCTCTTCTAAAAAATGAATACAGACCAGGTTCACTGACACAAAGATACCATGAATGGGAAAAAACGGAGGGGGGGGGGGGGGGCTGAGCCCTTCCTCTAGGTGGAGGGGTAATATACCTAGTTCAAGAGCATAATAGTAGTAACATTAGTAATAATACTAATCAATAGTAAATAAATATAATGATGTGATTGAAATAATAGGAAGTGTATCAGAAGAAAAGAGAATTTCTCTACATGGTTAAAGGGGCCAGCTGAATCTTCTCATCAAATTATTTAAGCCTCCCAACTTTGGGGGGTTGGGAGCTCAAGTTGCACCCCTAAAGCAGACTACTTGTTTACAAGCAAGCACACAGACCACTATAAAAGCATGCACACAGGTTTGCAACTCCTCTTGGGCTGTTTGAATGGCACTATATGCCTTTCGGCTATATTAGTCGCATCTGTAACATTTAATTGCTTCATTATATTGTTTTAGCTTATGTTTGGAACAATCTGGCACCCAAATCCTGTCTTGACTAAGGTAGCGAGACTTGTCAAGACATTTTTTTTAAGAAAATTTTTTTTTATATAACAGGTGAGGTCATCCTTAACAAGAAGGCAGTCTATGAACCTACAAAAGGTCAGCGTGTCCGGCAGATCGTCTGTTCAAAAGGTTGGGCAATAGGCATTCTGCTGCTAATGGGCACCATCATGATTGCTGTTGCAGTCATTGCAGCCTTCGCAAGACCATCTTCAGCACCTTCTACATCCCACTGCAACACTCCAGGGCAATACGTCACTTCCGACACATTCACAGATCAGGACGTCCAAATACAAGAAGAACCACAAACATACATCTCCACAAACGGTGAGCCATTCCCGTGGCGTGACCTGAGACTTCCCAGAACTCTGATTCCAGAATCTTACAGCATCTTTCTGCATGCAAACATCACCGAGTCCTATTTCACAGGGAATGTTCACATGAATCTCCGCGTTGATCAAGACACAGACTTCATTGTGTTCCACACGAAGGAGCTCAACCTGTCAAACATCAACATATACGTAGCACATGACAGAAACAGTAGCCTGCGGAACTTTAATACAAAAGTTAGTGTCCTGAAAGAGCTGGAGTATGTCCGGAACGAACAGTACTATCTACATTTGGGAGCCTCGGTGAAGAGTTCCTCTTTTGTTCAGGTCCAGGTGGATTTTAGGGGATCCCTGCCAAGTTCTAACAGCATGAGAGGGTTCTACAAGAGCTCTTATACTTTACGGGGTCAGGAGAGGTAGGTAACATTTCTCCTACACCTTACATGTCAAGAGGTCTAGGTATGTTTGTCTTAGTATGTTTTTCTTAAACCTTACAAATTCAGTGGTAATGGGTATGTTTATCTTACACCTTACATGGTCAGGAGAGTTGTGTGAAGTTTCACTTACATTTATGTAAGGAGGAGAAGTAGATTCTCCTAGACTTTACATCAGGGCTATTCAGCTGGTAGCCCAGTGGCCAAATCATTACCAGTTGTATTGCATTTATGATCTTTCTTTGCTGGGGCTCGAGCCTCTGGCCTGTGATGATCCCAAAAATGTTGGCCCCTGAGTAAACTTAGTTAGGTAGCTCTGCTGTACGTAGTCATGATAGGTTAGTGATGTTTCTGTTACACCTTATGTGGTCACGTGAGGTGGGTGATGTTTCTCTTACACCTTATGTGGTCACGAGAGGTGGGTGATGTTTCTCCTACACCTTGCTTGGTCATGAGAGGTGGGTGATGTTTCTCTTACACCTTGCATGGTCATGAGAGGTGGGTGATGTTTCTCTTACACCTTGCATGGTCATGAGAGGTGGGTGATGTTTCTCTTACACCTTGTGTGGTCACAAAAGGTTAGTGATGTCTCTCTAACACCTTGCATGGTCATGAGAGGTTAGTGATGTTTCTCTTACACCTTGCTTGGTCATGAGAGGTGGGTGATGTTTCTCTTACACCTTGTATGGTCATGAAAGGTAGGTGTTGTTTCTCTTACACCTTACATGGTCACAAGAAAAAGCTGTTGTTACTAACAATGTTTTTGTGACATTTTTAATGGTCATTTAAAAAAGAATCTGACCCTGTCAGGACCTGAACCCACAACCTTTGGATCAGCAGCCAAGTGTCTGGCCACTACACCATGGCCACTCATGGGTCATATATGCTTTATGATAAAGCAAATCCCTGTGTGGGTTCTGGGGCCCCTTTTGGGAAGGGGGTTGGGTGGGTGGAGAAAGACTAAGAGTAGACCCACTGTCTTGCTAACAAGCATCTTGTAAGAATAGACTAAGGAAGGGTTTCTTTCACAGTCGGAGTGCATCTTCTTAAGAGGTATTGAACCAGCAGTCTGCATACAAATAAGTAGGGTCTGTAAAACGGATATGCACACAAAACTCACATTCTGGAACAAGACTTGGGAAGTGAATGAATGAAACAACCAGAACTTTAGCTGATGAATGTGAAGAAGAAGAAGATAAAGCAGACTTGGTGAAATATCTGATTCTCCACCTCCTTCTGCTTCATATGCTCATCGTTACTTGTAGATTTCCTTAATCTTTGCCTAGGTATATTGCCAGCACACACTTTGAAGCAACAGCGGCCCGCCTTGCCTTCCCCTGCTTGGACGAACCTGAGCTGAAGGCCAAGTTCACCATGTCCTTAGTGCGAGACCAACAACACATCACCCTGTTCAACATGCCGCTGAAGAGGACGGCCCCGTACCATGGTGACCTGGTGGTTGATGAGTACGAGGAGACGGTCAGGATGAGCACCTATCTGGTGGCATATGTGATATCTGACTTCAAGAACATCTCGGCCACAAGCAAGGATGGTGTGGAGGTGAGCTGGAAGATCGTTGCTTATCTCTTCTTCTTCTTCTTTACATCCTCTGATACCGCTTGGGGTGCCGAGGGAGAAATAAGGTCCTGCTTTGTGCTGTTCTGGCTGCTTCATCTGGAGACACATCATGATGCTGTAGAGTTTCTCTGATGTTGTCTTTCCAAGTCATTCTTGGTCTACCTCTTGCTTTAAGTCCCTCTAGGTTTATCTCTTTGAGTCCCAAACAATGTATGGTGTGTGGATTACTCCATTTCCTGAATGCCATCCTTAGCTTAATATACTATCGTACTTTTTATATTTGGTCAGAACACACTCAAGAAATCTGGCTTGTCTAATGGTCACTGTCACTGTTATATTACCACTTTGAAAGTAATTCACTGATAAATTTTAATCTGGGTGTTTCTTCACTGATTTCTCTTACTTATCCTTCCTCTGGCACTGAAAGAGTAATGAGTCAGAGGTGAGTCTGGATGATTAACCAGATGAAAAGGTAAGATGTGGAGGATAAATTTCAGATTTGTGATCATATGAATAAAGATAGTGTGGTTAGGAGAATGCGGTTAGATTAAATGAGGTCAGGGTAGTAGAGTCAACATTAGGGGATGAAAGATAGATTTATGGCTAGAGAAATAAAGATAGATTCAATGCCAGAGGGGAAAATAAATTTGTGGAGAGAGCAATAAAGTTAGATTCAGTTTCATGGGATTAGAGGTACATTTGTGGTTAGAGTAGTAAAAATCTATTTAATGTCAGGAATTTTGAGGTAGATTTATGGTTAGAGGAAAATGTTAGATTCATTGTCAAGGGATTACAAATAAATTTTTTGGTGGCGGAAAAAGGATAGATTTAATATCAGGGGATAAATGATAGATTTATGGTTAGAAAATTCTAAAGATAGATTCAAGCTGAAGAAATTAAAGATTAATTTAAGAAGATAGGCTCATGGCTAGTTGATTCATGATAGGTTCATGGTTGGAAGATTTTAAAAAGATTCATAATATCAGGATTGAAGATAGAATCATGTGAATCATCATTAGGGAACTGAAGATAGATTCATGGTTAGAGGATTAAAGATAGATTTCTTAGATTCATGGTTAGAAAATTGTAGAGATTAATGGCTAGATAGTTGAGGATAGTTTCTGTAGATACATGTTTAAAGGATTGAAGATAGATCCACAATTAATGGATTCAAGATAAATTCATAACTGTAGGATTTAAGATAGATTTATTGTTAGAGTAATGATATAAATTAAGACTTAAAAGTGATGAAATGAATTTTGAAGAAACCATTTGAGTTGATTTTTCCATTATTTTACAGGTTCGAGTTTTTGCATCTGAAGATAAAATTCATATGGGCCAGGTGGCGCTGAAGGCGGCAGTGACAATTCTAGATTACTATAGCAGTTTCTTCGGGACACCCTACCCCTTGCCGAAACAGGGTCAGTCTGCTTCATTATGTCATGTTTTCAGTTGATTGTTCATTAGTTTTTCAGATAGGACAGTGTGGGACATTTCATTTGATTTTCACTTGCACAGGAATGGAGCAAGTATGGGGATGACCTGATTGCTGTGAAATTAAAACCTCCACTAGGACTAAGATGGCTGTCTCATAGACTTTCCTCTGCTCTTTAGCTTTGTATTCAGGGAAACCCCATGGTGTAGCAGCTTGATGCTTGCTGGCAGATCCTAAGGTTGTGGGTTCAACTCTAAATGGAGCTGGGCCTTGTTTTAAAAATGTTCTTTGCTTCCAAGTCGACCCAGCCTTAAATGCCAAGTGGTCTATAAAATATAGGCCTAGCACTATATGCCCATGATGCCTAAAGTATGGAAAAGGGTCCTTTACTTTATGTCTACTTCTGTCTGCCTCTCACTGTGTGTGCCTACTTGTGTCTGCCTTTTGTCTTCTATTTGTTTCTCTGCCTGACTTGTCTTTTCTTGTGGGTCTGTGTATCTGTTCTGTGGCTGTCTGTCTGTCTACCTTTCTACATTCTCTCTGAATGCTGCACTGGATGAAACTACAACTCTTCTGGAGATAAAGAAAGAAAGTGATCAGATGTCCCATGGTAAAGCTGGTCTTGATGTGTTCCCTGCAGAGGTTTACAAATATAGAGGTGAGGTGCTCACTGAAAAGCTACACCAAGTATTTCAACTTTTTTGCCAGCACAAAACATTATCCCTTCTTCTTTATCTTCTTTATGTCCTCTTTTTACCTCTTCGGGTGTCAAGGTCCTGTTTCGTGCTCTTCTGGCTGCTTCGACCATAGACACACCGTGGTGCTTTAAAATGTCTATGATGTTATTTTCCCATTTTATTCTTGCTCTACATCCCTCTCCTCTTTTGGTATATGCCTTGTATCAAATAGCATCAGAAGCTTCTCTCCAAGTGGGCAAACAAGACTTCAAAATTGCAACTATCATAAATGTGTATAAACAGAAAGGAAATATAAAATGTGTGACAACCACTGTGGAATCTCACTACTATCTGTTGCTGGGAAGATACTCACTAGATTTCTTTTATGATGGTGCAGGTTCCAGGGCACAGGTTTAAGGGGGTCAAGCTTAGACCAACGGTCCCCTCACCCATAACAAGCATGTTCTGAAAGTTGACTAATTAGGGGTGTTTTCCTTTAAAATCACAGTACATCTAGCTTAGGGAGGAGGAGCCAGCAGTCTGTACACAAATATGTCAGAGCTATAAAACAGGCGGGAGTCACTGTGGCCGAGCGGCTAGACGCTCGCCACAGATCAGAAGATCATGGGTTCGCTTTTAGGCGGAGCCGAACTTTTTTCAGAAATGACGTTGGTTCCCAGGTTGACCCAGCCTTGAGCGGGTACCAGGTGCAGTTCCAGGAAGTAAAGGTGGCCGGCGTGATGCTGACCACATCACTTATCTTGTGCCGATTGGTCTATAAAATATAGGCGTAGAACAGGGTTCTTTACTTACTTACTTACTATAAAATAGGCGGGCATGCTAAACTCAAATTCTCTAACATTATCAAAGTCCAGAAGTGGACGAACAACCAGAACTTTCTGCTGGAATTTACAGAAAGTGAATGCTTAAAAAAAAGAAGATTATCCTAAACTGCTGACAGTGCACCAGGATCATGGTCTTCTGCCTTTGTGCCAGCTTGGATTCTTTAAAGAGTATGGGACAACATGCCTTTTGCTACTGGACAGTTTCAGGACAAATGCCAAAAACAAAACTGTGACCTTTTATTCAGTCTTCTTCAGTCTCACAAAGGCCTTTGATACAGTCAGTAGCGGAGTTCTATAGAAAAATCATGACAAATTTGGTTGTCCTCAGAAATTTATCGGGATGATCTAACAGTTTCTTGAAGGTATGTAGGCCAGGGTGTTGGTATATGACAATTTATTGGATCCTTCCCCTGCCTCAAATGTCATAAAGCAGCACAGTTTAACATCATCACCTGGAAAGACAGAGAGATGCCAACAACTTTCATCACACATGCTGTGTTTGTTTCACAGATCTTGTTGCCATTCCCAACTTTGGCGCTGGGGCCATGGAGAACTGGGGTCTCATCTTGTTCAGAGAGTCGAGCTTGTTGTTTGACCCAGATATCTCCACGGCATCTTCCAGAGAGGCAGTTGTCACAACGGTCGCCCATGAGCTGGCACATCAGGTTGGTACCATTGGTTTTATATCAGGGACTTTATTTAAAGTGGTAGCAAATATAGGACCATTGTCATGGCAGTGTTTTTCTGTCAGGAAAGTAAAGTAAAAAATAGTAAAGGACCTTTTTCCCATGCCTTCATGAATGTTGGGCATATACTGCTCATTATCATCATGTGCCCTGCCACCTGGCATAGGCGTTCATGCATCTCCACAGATCTCTGTCCCTTGCTGTCTGGATCAGTTCCACCGATGATATCCCTCCATGTCACCGTTGCAGTCCATCAGTCATCATCTTTCTTGGTCTGCCTCTCCCTCTTCTACCGTTGATCTTCCCAGTCATCACAATATTCTCCATAGCCTTCCCCCTCATCACATAAGCAAAAAAAAAACATTGCTTGTCTTTTCCTTGTAGCTGTATATATTGATCTGCTTTCATTAGCTTCCCTCAAGCAATCATTGTTAGTTACTCTGGTAGTCCATTTACTGCAAGACTTATATTTTATAGACCAGGCAGCTCTTGCTGCATGGTATAATCTGCATCTCGTCAACCGCCTTTACTTTCCATGACTGTACCTCATACTCATTTGAGGTTTGTTTGACCTTAAAGCCAAGGCTAAACCTGAACCCCCAACTTCCGATGCGCAGGCGAGTGTATGGCCGCTAAACCACGGCAGCTTCCTTTCTGTCAGGGACTTTATTCGGCTATCCTCCAAATAACGGTCCTAAATTATGGAGGCGGAAAATATACCCTAAAAGGGCCTCAGTCATGTGTCAATTGCGCACTTCCGGGGACTATAACACCACCGCCGAATTGCAAACTTCTGGCAACTTCCGCCACCGCTGAGAGTATCCCCCAGCCGCTCATGCAGGGTTGATTGAGGCTAAACTAGATGGCTAGGACTCACAAGCAAATAAAATGAAAGAAGCTACAGGAGATGCAGTAGCTGCTGCTCGTGAGTTCCAGCCATCTAGTTTAGCCCTAATCCACGCCGCATGAGCGGCGTGGGGAAATACTCTCGGCGGTGGCGGAAGTCGCCGGAAGCGCGCAATTTAGGATGACGGAAGTGTGCAATTGACACGTGACTGAGGCCCTGTTAGGGTATATTTTCCGCCTCCATAATTGAGGACCATTTTTCGGAGGATAGCCCTTTATTTCATTTAGAAGACCATGCTCATGCCATTGGTGTGGTATGTTGAGCATATCGTGCTTGAACCATATTTGTTTTTAGTTTTTCTTCTTCTGTGTTCATCCAAAAATGTAACTGATGAGTTGTATATGAAAGAACTAGCAAACATACAGTATTTCCTCATGTATGAGACACATATATTTTCCAAACATGCGGGGTCCAAAAACAGTGTGCCACTTATACAATGGTAGTAGTAGTTTCTTTACCAAAAGATTTGTTCGAAAATATCCCCTACAAGGCCTCTTTTGGGAAAGCCAGTTCAGGGACAACATAAAATGGAGAACAAAAAATAAAATAAAATAGTTTTTCCCCCACTGTAATAGTTTTTGCTTTTGTATTCAGGCTCATTATTTCCTACTTGTTACATTAGATTACATTTTGACAGTGATGAGGAGTTTTCTGGAGTTTATGATGAATAAAACATGAGCTCAATAATTGTATGTAATCTTATGATCCTTTCCCAATTGCGGGTCCCAAACTCAAGGTGCCTGTTGTACATGGGATCATCTTACAGGTGGGGACATACTGTACTTAATTTTCAGAGAGAGAGAGAGAGAGAGAGAGAGAGAGAGAGAGAGAGAGAGAGAGAGAGAGAGAGAGAGAGAGAGAGAGAGAGAGAGAGAGAGAGAGAGAGAGAGATTTGATCAGTACCATCAGTATTGGAACTGCCCTGGCTGCTGGAGATGAGAACGGAGCATGCATGGGAATGCCCCGAGTGCTGTAATGTCAATTCTTGACTCAACTCAACTTTCAGAGAGTTGGAGCAAGTGCCATTTTATACTCCTCCAGTGAGTTACAGTTAATACGCCATTAAATAACCAACAGTTATTGACAAGCATAAATATCCAGTAATTAATATAAAAACCGTGGTTATCCAGATTATACCTCAGATGGGTTGAACCATTAATACTAAATAAGTGACTGAACACATAATATCAAATGTTTGATTGGATGGCTGGTATTCAGTTGTTGACCCTTTTTACAGGTTTTCATACTGAACTGTTACTGTTGCCGCATTGCCACATAATTTTAATATTTGTGTTTTTTTTTTCTCAGTGGTTTGGAAACCTGGTCACCATGAAGTGGTGGAATGACCTTTGGCTGAACGAAGGATTTGCAACGTTTGTTGAGAATAATATTGGCACTGACATTGTGGACAGTACTTTCCGTAAGGTGAGTTACCGGATTACCCATTTGATGAACTGAGTGGGATAGATCTATCCCGTCGTCCTTTGGATGAGTTTGCTTGTGACAGAATTATCTGATTATCCATTTGTTGGGTTAAATGTGACAGAAATACCTGATTACGCATTTGATGAGTTGAATGGGACAAAATGAAAGAACTAGTTTACCAAACTTAATTTTCAGAGAGTTCGGACTCGTGGGTCTTCTATATTTCTAAAATAAGTTACATTTGATACATAATCTACGCACTATTAATTAGCCAAAAGTTATGAGAAGCGTAAATACGCAGTATTGACATATTAAAACTGTACATCCAAATTATAACTCAGATGAGTTGAACAGGAAATGCTTGTTTGATTTACTACTACTACTTCAAAGATCATTATTACATTGGCCCTTTTTGTCTTTTCATAGTTTGTCTACTTTATTCTCACATCTCTTTGAGGTCATTCTAACAAGTTTCCCCTTGTCATCTCTTATTTTAACACATTTTATTTTCACATCACTCTGGGGTCATTCTAACAATCTTCCCTTTTCTGTTTCTCTCTCTCTCTCTCTCTTTCTCTCTCTCCCCCTCCCTCCCTCCCTCCGTCTCTCTATCTCCCTCTCTCTCCCTCCCTCCCTCCCTCTCTCCGCCCCTCTCTCTCTCTCTGTCTCCCTCCCTCCGTCCTTCTGTCTCTCTCTTCCTCCCTCCCTCCCTTTCTCCATCCCTCTCTCTCTCCCCCCCCCCTTTCTCTCTCCCCCCTCCCTTTCTCCCTCACTGCCTCCTCTCTCTCCCCCCTCTCTCTCTCTCTCCTCCCTCCCTCTCTCTCTCTACCTCCCTCTCTCTTTCTCTCTCTCTATCTCTCTCTCTCTCTCTATCTCTCTCTCTCTCTCCTCTCTCTCTCTCATCTTTCACACATTTTATTCTCTCAGCTTTTTGGGGTAATTCTCTCTGTAGAGTCAAGTATTTCAGAATCCTTGCCGGTGCAATGGGGTTTATGAATCGCGCTGAGATTCTTCAGATTCAGGCTTGAGTTAGAAGTAGAACAGATGTTGATCTGTCAAAAAAAAAACACACACACACAAAAATATGATAAACATAAACTGTGCCAGATTTTCTTTAAATATTAAAAGCCACTAGAAATTAAAATAACTACACGAACTGGTTGAAGATATTGTCGTTGGCCAGACTTTGTAATTTCCACCTAATGTCTGATGTTTGCCAGACTTTGAACTGTAAGTCAAATGTCTTATGTTTCAGAAAGATTCTGCCATGGCCAATTACTTGGAGGTCATGTCGCAAGACAGCTTGATGTCTTCACATCCCATCGCAGTTTCTGTCAGTGACCCTAGTGAAATTGATTCTGTGTTTGATAAAATCTCCTACGACAAGGTGAGAAATAGCGCTGTAGTAAAGCACAGAGGGGATACCATCATTATCGTTATCATCAATCAGCATAATTGTTTTTTACAGTTTCATAGTTTTCATCATTATTATTATCATCATCCTCTGCTTCAGCGGTGTTCATACTGGGGGAGTGCCCCCTGGGAGCGTGCAAGAAAGTTTCAGATGGGGATGTAAAGCAGTTTTGAAATTGCGTTAGTTTTTATGAGCAGTTTATATACATCTACCGTTAAAAATCTGGTTAGTTTTACGATAGTCTCCCGAGAGAAAGAAAGTCACGTTCCATTGATAACATTGTTGGACTGGTCTACCTTGCTGGATGTTATGGATGTACCGCTCTGTTGTTTGCTTTCTGGGGTGTCTTGCATTTACGTTTTTGTTCTGAGAAAGAGAATAATGCCTGTTTGATCACTCTCTAAAAGGGTTTTGTGTTAGACCCAGTTTGTCAATGTTTTTGGAGTGTTAAAAGCGCTGGCATGTTGTAATATAGAACACTCGATATCAACTGCATTGCGGAACACAGCCATCAGCTTGTGCCAAGGGCGCTTGGCTTAAGGTTGACCAGTCAGAAGTGAGCTAGGCTGAAGATTGATCAATCATAAGTGAGCTAGTGTGTAACACTGTGTAAATAGGGAGAGCAACGTTATTTGTACCAAAAATCTTAACAAATAGGAATAGCACAATTCTTTTTTAAATAGGACTTGGGGTTATCTTTTTGTCCTCCTGTTTTTAATGACATTTTTTTAAGTTGGGGAGGGAGAGGAGATGGTGTGCAGGATCTTACCATATTTTCAAGTGAGTTCCACTTGAAAAAATGTGCAAACCTCTTCTCTACTTCATCTTCATTTTCTCTCTACAACTGTAATACAATGTACAGAGGGTGCAATCATTATCATCATCATCATAATTTTTTTCTATTGGTATTATTGTTAAGTATTACTATTATTATTACCATTATTAATTTTTATTTTTATTGCTTAGATTGTAATTATCCTACTTCCTCTCTTTTTTTTTGTATACTTTCTTTTACACTTTCGTTGTCCACCGCAGCTCACATGGAGTAAGCTCTATTGTGTAAAGGCCGAACAATTTACACCTCTCTCACCTGGATCTACACACCTTGGCAATGCAGGAGTAAAAAGTGAATAATGAGCATACCAACTAGCATGTTTCGTACGTGAGGAACAATGGACAGAGCTGTATCATTAATGCAATATGAACTATGCTAGTGGATAATGGTGAGTCTCTGAGGCTACCAAGCTTGCATGATCTGGGAGTAAAGCTTGGTAAAGCACATCTGTGCCATCTTCGAGGTAAGATAGGGGACATTATAACTAACTCTTCATAGGATATGGTCAGTAGAAGTACCTTGGAGCGGCTTCTGCATCAACAGACTGAATACGTGTGTGACATCAGTTATGATAACATAACATTCAGACTACAAGATCAACATCTCTAAATTGTATGTACCTTACCTTTTTTTTTATTGTTCTACGGTCCTGTCAGGGAAGTGCTGTCATATATAGACAGTAACATTGTCCATCATATGTGTGCAGTAAAATTTTTCTACTATGTGTACAGTAACATTTTCAGTAATGCATACACAGTAACATTGTCCATCATATGTGTGCAGTAAAATTTTTTCTACTATGTGTACAGTAACATTTTCAGTAATGCATACACAGTAACATACTTCGTTATTTTGTGTTCTGTTATGTTTTCTATCAAATGTGTAGAGTAAAATTTTCTGTCATATGTGTACATAACATTTTCTGTCATATGTGTACCATAACATTTTCTGTCATATGTGTACCATAACATTTTCTGTCATATGTGTACCATAACATTTTTCTGTCATATGTGTACATAACATTTTCTGTCATATGTGTACATAACATTTTCTGTCATATGTGTACCATAACATTTTCTGTCATATGTGTACCATAACATTTTCTGTCATATGTGTACATAACATTTTCTGTCATATGTGTAAATAACATTTTCTGTCATATGTGTACATAACATTTCCTGTCATATGTGTACCATAGCATTTTTCTGTCATATGTGTACATAACATTTTCTGTCATATGTGTACATAACATTTTCTGTCATATGTGTACCATAACATTTCCTGTCATATGTGTACCATAACATTTTCTGTCATATGTGTACCATAACATTTTTCTGTCATATGTGTACCATAACATTTTCTGTCATATGTGTACCATAACATTTTCTGTCATATGTGTACATAACATTTTCTGTCATATGTGTACCATAACATTTTCTGTCATATGTGTACCATAACATTTTCTGTCATATGTGTACCATAACATTTTTCTGTCATATGTGTACCATAACATTTTCTGTCATATGTGTACCATAACATTTTCTGTCATATGTGTACATCACATTTTCTGTCATATGTGTACATAACATTTTCTGTCATATGTGTACATAACATTTCCTGTCATATGTGTACCATAACATTTCCTGTCATATGTGTACCATAACATTTTCTGTCATATGTGTACCATAACATTTTTCTGTCATATGTGTACCATAACATTTTCTGTCATATGTGTACCATAACATTTTCTGTCATATGTGTACATAACATTTTCTGTCATATGTGTACCATAACATTTTCTGTCATATGTGTACCATAACATTTTCTGTCATATGTGTACCATAACATTTTTCTGTCATATGTGTACCATAACATTTTCTGTCATCTGTGTACCATAACATTTTCTGTCATATGTGTACATCACATTTTCTGTCATATGTGTACATAACATTTTCTGTCATATGTGTACATAACATTTCCTGTCATATGTGTACCATAGCATTTTTCTGTCATATGTGTACATAACATTTTCTGTCATATGTGTACCATAACATTTTCTGTCATATGTGTACCATAGCATTTTTCTGTCAAATGTGTACCATAACATTTTCTGTCATATGTGTACCATAACATTGTCACATGTGTACTGTAGCATTGTCTGTTGCATGTGTACAATACTTTTGTCTTGTGTGTACAGTAACATTTTCTGTTAAACATATACAGTAACTTTTTCTGTCATGTGCATACAGGGACATTTTCTGTCATAGTGTACAGTAATCGTGTCTAACATACACATGCAAGAACATATTTTTATTTGTTTCTGTATGTCAGGAGGTGCTATCACATATAAATAGTTACATTTCTGTCATACTTGCACAGTAACATATTTTCCTGTGTTTGTACCTGTCAGGGCTCTGCCGTCATACGTATGCTGCAACATTTTCTGAAGGAAGAGCCATTCCGAAAGGGTCTCCGCAACTATTTGTTGAAGCACAAGTATGGCAATGCTGAAACCAGTGACTTGTGGAACTCGTTTCAAGAGGTATGGTCTGTGTGTTGTTTGCTGAATCCTTTTTTCCTCTTTAGAGGAGAGGTTTAAATATTTGACAGTAGTAGGGATAGCAACCTGGCTGAGTGGTTAAGAATGGTGGACTCTTATTCTGAGAGCCGGGTTTGAATCGTTGGTGAGGTGTTGGATTTGTTTCTGTCAGGGACACACATACACACACACACACATCCCTACTACACCAGCCATGTAGCCCTAAATTTTCAGCTTAGACTCCCCCCACCCCCTTTCCCCTCCTCACCTGCCTTTCCTGTGCTACACTGCCTTAAAAATGTTTAATGGCAGTAAAGACAGTTTTAGGAAAGCAGACTAGGGTTATCTCTACCAACAGCAGACGTAAAGTCTCTCCTTCCTTCCACTAGCCTGCAAGACACCTCATGTGTAGAGGTGGAGAATTTGGAATAAGTGACAGAGAAAGTAACAAGAGAATGGGTGAGTCTTTCATGGTACTTAATAAATTTAAGATGTTTAAGTTGGATTTTAGTGTAGTTGCAGCAAAAATGAATGTTTGAGGGGATGAATTTGAGACTGAAGCAAGTCTGTTACTGGAATCTTCTTCAGTCCTTATGTTAGAAAACTTATACCAGGAGGGCAGTAGCCTTTTTGAAAGCTGTCATGCTGTCCATATCTCCCACTGTACCAGACAGGGTTTTCTGGCATTATAGAAGGTGTGCTTGACGCTATGTTTGTAGGGAAGAATCCCCCATACTCTGTGCCTTTTGACCTTGCGCCTCCATCTTCAGCGTGCTTTTATTTCAGAAGATGACTGATGGATGTCATTCGTAGCAGTCATTACCTCTCACCACTGTTGAGATTATGAAAAAACTGACATATCTTGTTCTATATAATTTGGCGTAGTTAACATATCATACACTTTGGCAAGCACTCATATACTAGTTGTATCCTGAAATATTCACTCACTCATTCCAGCTGAAACTGTAAGTATATACCTACATACTAGAAATGGTGAGCATCGAGTTAAGGTGTGTAAAAGAAAAAAGTAAAAGTAAAAAGTAAAGATCCCTTTTCACACCTTTAAGGCCTATCAGGTATATGGGAAAGAGCGCCCATATTGTTACAGACCATTGGCACTAGGTAGGTGATGTGGTCAGCATTACGCAAGAAGGTGTGTAAAGTGTTAAATATAACTGTCAGTTGTTTGAGTACACATTCTGATGTTGAACACATACTTGATACTGGGAATTATTGGATCTAAATATAATTATTTAAAGCAATGTGTCCCAGTCCACGTTTCCTTCTTCTCCTCAGGGCTAACCATAATACATTTCAATCAAGTGTAAACACTAAGTTACAGTGCACTTAGTCACATTTAGGATCTCAGAGATCCTTTTAAGTTAATCTGATTTTGATATCACAGCAGTGATCCTAGGTTTAAGATCAATTATATGTTCTAAAACCTTCCAGTAAATATGGTTATATTGAAATAACACTTGTTCCATCCCATAATAATTGTAATATAATTTCTATTTCCACACCGAGATGTGCTCGTGAAAGATTTCACTTTGTACAGTTAGTGTAAGAATAAAAAAAAACAAATTCAGACACTCATATTTGTATTATGAATAAACAAAACTGAATCAAATGAGCAATTACATAATAATATGTTTACATACATATCTTATACATGTGCATATTGTCAGTATGGGACAGGAAACAGGAGTGGTAAAACAGTGATAGTTTGTGGGATCAAACTGTGTTTTTCCAACAGAATCCACAGACCAAATGATTAGCATGAATGTTAGAAGAATAAGCTGTTGTGGTAGTAAGCAGATTGCGTGAGCTGGTAGTACTTCACCTACACTCTGCAGGGATCCAGTATGTCAAAGCAGTTTGACACGACCGAAAATATTGCTTCTGGCATGAACAGTTTACACGACCAGCTCTGATATGTCTTTGTCGAGGAAAGGATTCACAAATCTCTACTGAAACTTATCTCCCAGCAAATTTAAATTATAGCTGTGAAATCAAGCAGGAGACATTGTCTCAAGCCACCTCGTGACACTATCTATGTTAGTCAGGCCTCTAGAAGGAAACCTGTTTCCAGGATGGCCATGTGTCCAGTTGTAAAGCACATGGTGAGTTACCCTTGTATCCCCTTCATTTCTTCATTCATTTGCAACTGTAACATTTGCTGAGTGAGACAAAGCATCTGTAAGTGGGGCCAGAGTGTTCTGATGTTGATTCTTCATTCCCAGTTCCTTCAGTCTAAATTATTTTTATTTGTAATCTAATCTAGGTCAGCAGTTTGCCATCTCACCTTACAGTGAAACAGATCATGGACACTTGGACCAACCAGATGGGTCTACCGGTTGTCACTGTGATAAGGAGGGAAGGAAAGATCCACCTATCGCAGCAGCGGTTTCTGTTGATGGGATCCCTGGGTCATACTGATGCAGCCAAGGAGAAGTTCCAGTCCCCGTATGGGTAAGGTTTTGCTTTGGGGGAGTCGGGGGAGGGTTAAAATTTCATTGCTTTTTGTGGTTTTTTTGCGCTTGACTCGACAAGAAAACTTTGATAAAATGTCAAAGTTTGTGAAGAGATATGAATCCTTTCTTGGTTGTTGACTTTTCATCAGTAAATAATCATTTGTTTGTTTAAATTCACGGAGTCACAGTGTTTATTGTGAGGAGTTGAGTGACATCAAGGAACCATGATGAACAAGTGTGTTGACCTACTTATGTGTGTTCTCTTATTGTGTGAGGCTGCAGCGTAAACACGATAGCTCGATGATCTACTTTTTGTTCGATTGTATGTCTTTCCATGGCATTGGACTAGACACATTGAGAACAATATGATTAGAATGGCTTTCTACAGTGGACCACACAGGGGCATAAAGGCAGACTGAAAAAAACACAAGGAGAAGGAAGCCAGACAGTGAAGTTAAAAAGATAGGAAGCACATTGGGTCAGTTGTATGCAATAGGGTAGGATAGAGCTACTTGGCCTGATAATGATGAAAATTTGCTGTATGATGATTCCGATAATCTCATGAATATACAGAAGAATAGGTTATATTTCATGGAAACAAAAATAATCAAATACGATTCTAAAAAGAGAGAGAGAGAAAATTGAATTATTTTGGCCACATTAAGAGACTGAACGCTCTTTTTAAAACCATACTATAGGCAAAAGTCAAAGGCAAAAGAGCAAGAGGTATACAATGATACAAGCGTGAGGACAACATCAAGGGATGAATAAACAGCAGTCTGAGAGAGTGTACACCCAAGACAAGACAGATTGGAGATCCATTGCAGCCAGTCATCATTGTGAAGATGGCATCTGATTGATTGATTGATTGATTGATGATTGATTGATGAGAATGATGTTGCTAACAATAGTTGAGGAGCAGCTGGCTGAATGGTTAGATCGCTGGGATCTCAAGCGGGAGACCCAGGTTCAGATCCTCTGTAAGGCTGGGGATTTTTTTCTGTCGGGGGCAAAATAAAATCCTCACCTGCACAGTCGTGGCGACAGCATTAGCCATGTGGCCGTAAATCTTCAGGCTCAAAGACCCCCCCTGCCTACACCACCAATGTGGAATAAATGAAGGCAGTAATTAGCAAGTTTTAGTTTGGCTAATGATAGTTTGTTTGATAATGATGATGATGAAGGAATATTGTTTGAAGATATTGCATTATATTGGTTATATTATGACAAGATTGGTGGTTGCAGTAATGATGATGATGATGTTGTCACACTGATGATGATATTGGTAGGATGAAAGAGATGAGTAACTTAATGGCTTGGCTACATCAGTTTGGGTGAGAAGAGCACTTCCTTCTTTTCTTATGTTTTTCTTCTGCTTCTTCTTCTTTATGTCCTCTTTTATGGCTTTGGGTATGGAGGGAGATATAAGTTCCTGCTTCGTGCTCATCTGGCTGCTTCAACCATAGACACATCATTGTGCTGTAGAGTTTCTCTGATGTTATCTTCCCATCTTATTCTTTCTATATCTCTAGCTCTACGCCCCTCTCCTCTTGTGGTATATGCCTTGTATGGTATATCATCAGAAGGCATTCTCTCCAAGTGGGCAAACCATTTGATTTGTTGTCTTTGTATGTTTTTCTTATGTTCACCAGCTTTAAACTCATATGGGAAGCTTATGCTGGTCACCTACTTCTTGACTTTGGTCTTGTTCCAGAACATAAGTTTTGCGTGCTCATCAGTATACAAAATCTGGCTTAGTTGTATGCAGACTGTTGGTTTCTTGCCTTAACAGGCAGGTGCTTTTGGTCTTCGAAGTCGCCACTTACTACAAGCTTGTTAGGTGCTGGGTCTGTTCTCCACCCCCCTCCCTCCCTCCCACCCCCACTCACAAAATGGAACCCACACAATGATCAAGAGGACTGGCCTGATCCATGCTGTTGGTGATCGTGTGGAATGATGAGCCATGATCACCTACCCTTTAGAGATGCATCGATGGTAGTGATAATGATGATGATGAAAGTAGGGTAGCTTTTAATTAATTTGTTCCTACTTACAGCTATAAATGGATCATCCCATTTACATACAAAACCTCCAATCAAAATGAAGAACATCTGTTGTGGCTGTCCGAACACGAGGACCAAGTCGAGTTCAGTGACGAGTCAGCTACCTGGCTGAAGGCCAACGTGGACACACAGGGATTTTACAGAGTCAACTACGATAAACATGGCTGGCAGTCAATTATTCGGCAGTTGTCCGAAGACCACACTGTCTTCTCTGTGGCAGACAGGATGGGTCTCATTGATGATGTGTTTTATCTTGCCAGGTTGGTTTTATGTCTGTTGTATATATTTACAGCTAATTGTAACATATGTCTGTGAATGCTGGACAGGTAATAAATTGGCCAAAGATTTCTTGACTCTCTCTCCCCAGGAACACTAACATGACGTCATGACGTCATTGGAATTCCAGCTTTAACACAATTTTTTAGAGAAAAAAAAGCAGCAATTTTAGACAGGTCACAAATAAATTAATCACATGTGTATTTATCTACATTTGAAAGTGTTTTTCTTTTTCAAAATATATAAAGATATTTAGAGGAAGTAAACAATAAACATAAACAGGGACAAGCATTAATTGAAATACATTCCCAGAGGCATGAAAAACATGTATCAGGTTACTCATGCCTTCACCTCTAACACTAATGCTTAATGGAATGTGTGTATGTCAACTTGGCTTTAAAAAAAGCTTTTTTGGCTTAAAGGAAACACCCATCATCTGCATGCCAATTTAGTTAATTTATTAACATCATGACCTCTTAAACATTTGTGTTGTCATAAGACTAGCCAGTATATTTATCTTATGCGTCTCATAAACAGGTAACTATAGACAAGTCAGAAAAGTGACACATATGGGGGATTGGACCCAACTGGAAGTGTTTTACTTGAAATTTGTTGGTCAGCTAAAATAAGTAACCCAATGTTTTTTGACAGAGGTAAGGGTCCGAAGCAACTTATTATAAACCACAGATGTAGAGAATGATAATTTTGTGGCCTTAGTATGAGAACAGAGAAACTGGATATCATCAAGAGAGCTGTTCCAGGCAACCAGGGATGGTGATCTGAGGAGACACATGAGTGCCTACACCAGTTGGCAGGGCACATGATGAGAATGATGATGACACACACACAAGGGAAGATCATTTATGTAAATACGGAATAAAAGAGGGCCAAGTATCAAGCCTTGAGGTACCCCACTGTTTAAGGCAGGGGTCCGCAATAGGGATTTACTGTATGAGATTATTTGTTTTTTATTTAACAAAAAGGATTTTATTAACTTTAAAAGCCTAGGGTTGAATTTTATTGTTTCTAATGTTCCTATAAGAATATTTGGCAGAGTCGTCAAGCCATTTGCTGCATCCTCTGAAGGTCGTAGGTTTGTTTCATGGCTGTGTCATTCATTTCATGAGTGCAGTTTTTTAACAGAGATCCCTGGGGGTCATTGCCGGAGCTATAGAGCTTCTGCTTTATGCGATACTCTGGGCAGGTGGCTAGCTGTTCTGGGGAGAGAGACCAAACCGTATGGGATCAAACCTGGTGCATTTCTTTACTCTTCCTATGCACTTGTTCTGTTATGCTAACATTGAAATTGTTGTTATTGTCTCTCTTCATGCAGGATAAAATCCCAGAAATCATGTTCAGCCATGTGACATGGTAATATTCCAGCACCCCTAGGGTTACAAAGTCATGTGTAGTCCAGTGTGGAGGTGGAGACCGGGCCGTATTTTGACCTGATGAGGCCCAGTCGTTTTAAATTACGCCTGCTGATCTCAGAAAACTCTAAAATATCTATACACCTTTTTTTTTTAAAGGAACATTATTATCGTTTCATTTAAATTAAGAGAAGTTATAAAGTCAGTATGGTTGCCCTTTGCCTGGGTACATGGACGTCAGAACCATGTAATATCGCCGCAGGACTACCCCACAGTTCTGCAATGTCACCAGTGCTCTTCAGTATGAATACAAGCAATATTGCAGAACTTGAAGCACCAGGTGTTGGAAGGATACTGACATGTGCCCTGATGTTCTTGCATACAGGTAGGGGAGTGATAGGCAACAGAAAGCCCAAGACTACAGGACAACTGTAGACAAAGTCAGTTTGCAGAATCACATAAATTCCATAATCCTCTAAAAGGATCTATATTGCATCTTGAAACATGTTTTTCCTTGATTTCCCAAATATAGAATTGTTGATAATTATGTATATCAAGGTGATATTTTATGTGTTCAATTTAAAAAGGCTACAAAAAATTCGGATAAATAAAAACCTGAGATAATATACCCAAAATAATATTAGGAAAATAAGGTAATATGGTGGGGGTTCGAAGGGGGGGGGGGGGGGGGGGGGGGGTTTAAAATATATGAAAAGGAAATTGCATTAAAAATCTGTTTAACAAAAATTTTTATTTAAAAAAGGGGAAAAAAAAACAGAATTTTTGAAGCCCCTTCAAACTGTAAGGTGCACCTTATTCTGCTTTTACCTAAATCTGACTCGCATTCACCTGCGGATTGGAAGGTCCTGGGTTCGCGTCTTGGCTCCCAGGTCGACCCAGCCTCGAATGGCTACAAGGTGCGGTCCTGGGAAGTAAAGGCAACCAGCATGATGCTGACCACATCACTTACCGAGTGCTGATTGGTCTATAAAATATAGGTCTAGCCCTGCCCAACATGCCTGAAGGCCTAGAAAATGGTCCTTCACTTACTTAAACCTGACTGGTCTTCTTCTAAATTGATGAACTGCTTATGCCATTCTACAACAGAGCTGGCCTGACAGACTACGGCACGGCACTCGACCTGACCAGCTACTTAGTGAACGAAACAGACTACTTTGTGTGGTCGCTGGCACTCTCACAGTTTGGTTTCCTGCGGGCTCGGCTGTTCCTGGAGGAAGAGTACTCACTCTTGAACAACTACACCTTGTTGCTGGCCAAGTCCCATATTGATGTTGTCGACTGGAGCGTGAAACAGAACCCTGTTGACGAGTAAGTTCTAGCCAGATTTTGGGGCCAGATGTCTCTTCTTCTTAGCATTTACCGGTTGTAAATTCTGGCAGAAAGTTCTGGTTGTTTGTCTGCTCCTAGAGTTTAGTCTTGATCAGTCTTCTTTGCATTCACCGGCTGTAAACTGTGGCACAAAGTTCTGGTTGGTCAACCACTTGTGGACTTTTGTCTTGTTCCAGAACTTGAGTTTTGTGTGCACATACATCTTACAAAAATGGCTTATTTGTGTGCTGACTGTTGGTTCTAGTCGCCTTGTACAGACATGTTTGTTAGGGGGCGGTGTTTATGTTCATCCCCCCCCCCCCCCCCCACTCAAAATGGAATCCCAGAACCAACACAGAGAGGTCTTGTTTCAGAACTTGAGTTCTGCTTGCACAGCCATTTTACAGATCTAACTTATCTGTATGCAGACTGTTGGTTCCCTGCCTGTCAGGATGATGCACTCTGACTTTGATGGAAGCACTCCTGATTAGTAGCCTCCTATGACATGTTTGTTAAGTTAACAGTGGGTCTGTTATTATTGTCTCCAGAATGGAACCATGGAGACCACAGGGGCAGTAACCAGATGTCAGATGCTGAGGGGTTGTCTCATGCTGCTGTGGTGCTTCCCATATGTACAACTTTTTAGGGCAGTGTAGGATAACGTGGTCTTGAGCTCGAAATTTTAAAGATATTGGCTGTTACAGTCGCCATAAACTGTGCAGGTTAGGATGTTTATATATTGCAGACCTGATAAGGAGAACTCCCCGGGGACCCAAGAAATGGTTCTTCTTATCAAAAATTCCTCTTTCCAATGAGAATTTGAGGAAGCAAAATTGCAGATGATAAATTGTTCTTCATAATAGAAAATCGTTACATCTGAGATCACCTTAAGCGGTCTGCTTAATATCTCTGTTTGCTCCGAACAGAAAGAAAGTTGGTCACCTTTCTGAGGAATCTAACCCTGGTCTCTGACATGAGATGCTAGCATTCAAATCACTATTCTATTGCAATAAACTCAAATAATCCTGAGAGATGTGGTGGCACGCTGGCACACGTAACTGATGGTCCAGACGCCATAGGTTCAAATCCTTTTCCAGATTGATTTTTTTTGTGTGTGATGTGATAATTTACCTAGTCTGCAGCAGCAGTTGCGTCCCCTTTACGGGATGCTGCAGAACCACCCCCCCCCCCCCCCCCCTCGACATTTTGTTTTGGCTGTTTATGATTCACTAGGAATTTTTACTTTCAATAGTTTGCCACTGCTTTCTGAATGGTCAACTCTCGATACCACTGTCGAAACCGACGCAAGACTGTCTATTGCCAAATTTGCCACAGCTGGGATTGAACCCATTACCCTGGAATTGTGATGCATATACAGTGCCTAAGCCACTCCTGTTGAACCAGTCTAATAATATCTTCCGTTAAATATTTGGGTGATTAAGGGGGGCCACCCGCCTGAACAACATTGAATGGAATAGGTGGTTGGCCAACTCATAAGAATGCAGCCAGGCCAAACCATGTCTGACACATACATCAGCAGAAAATGAGGGTGAAAGAGGAGAGGAACACCAAGGAGAGATAGACAATGTGGGTGAAAGAGGAGAGGAACACTAAGAAGAGATAGACAATGTGGGTGAAAGAGGAGAGGAACACCAAGGAGAGATAGACAATGTGGGTGAAAGAGGAGAGGAAGGCCAAGAAGAGATAGACAATGTGGCTCAATCCTGCAAAACTAATAATAATTTTAAAAAACAATGGCTACTCAGGTAACTTGCGATGTGCAAGATACAGAAAACTGTAACACAGAGCTTCTGTGCCGAAACAGTGTGGTGACAAAAGAAGAAGAAGGCAAAGAAAAGTGGCTAGTAAATTACTGACCACATATATATGGCGCTATGTTAATTTTATGGCACTCGGGTAATTTTGTGTAGTTAACTTTGTGGTAGTCAATTTAATTTAGTGGTAAATGTTCAATTTTGTGATGTCCAGCAGATTTTGTGATAATTAATTAATTTGTTGGTAATTGGTTAGTTATGTGGTGTTTGTTACTTTTGTGGTAATGGGTTAATATTGCATCCACAGGTTCATGCAGAGCCTGATGATAGGCACAGCTGTGACCCTGGAGTATCAGAAGTTGATTGACCGAGCTGTGGAGCTGTACAAGCCGTGGAGGGATGGCATGGGTGTCACGTAAGCTTCCCTGTTGTTTACCTTAGCAACCAGCTGAAAGGTGTGGGATAGGATGGCTTGAAATCAAATTGACAGAGATATATTCTCTGCTTTTAAATGCTGCCAGGACAGATCCTGGGAAGTGAAGGTGTTCAACATGATGTTGACATCATCACCAGTTTAGATAGGTCAGTAGCGGATTGGTCTTTGAAAATATGAATCTACCATCATTTGCCTGTTGCACGTGCGTGTGTACACACACACACGCACGCACGCACGTGCGCACACACACACACACACACACACTTCCTCTCACACACACACTCTCTCTCTCACACTCTCTCACTCACTCACTCACTCACTCACTCACTCACTCACTCACTCACTCACTCACTCACTCACTCACTCACTCACTCACTCACTTTCTCACTCTTTCTTACTCTCTCCCACTCTCACTCTCTCTCTCTCTCTCTCTCTCACACTATCACACTCTCACATTCTCTCACTCTCTCACTCTCTCTCACTCACACTCTCACTCACTTACTCACTCTCTCTCTCTCTCTCACTCTCTCTCTTACTCTCTCTCACTCTCTCTCTCTCTCTCTTTCTCTCTGTTCATCTTACACAAAAGGGGTGGGTTTGTTACTTTGTTTTTGTTGTTGATCCTAACCCCCTTAGTAAAATACCAATGTTCCTACCCTGTTGTCAATATTATACCAGTGCTTATACACCAGACAATACTATATCAATGTTCTTACCCCAGTATCCATACTATATAAATGTTCTTACCTCAGTGTCAATACTATATCAATATTTCTACCCCAATATCAATGCTACGGAATGCTTCTATCCTACTGTCAATACTATACCAGTGTTTCTACCTTATTGTTAATTTGGTACCAATGTTTGCACCCTACTGTCAATGCTGTACCAATATTTCTACCTTAATATCAGTACTGTACCAATTTTTCTACCCTAATGTCAATATTCTACCAATGTTTCTACCCTAATATCAATATATACCAATGTTTCTACCCTAATGTCAATATTCTACCAATGTTTCTACCCTAATGTCAATATTCTACCAATGTTTCTACCCTAATGTCAATATATACCAATGTTTCTACCCTAATGTCAATATATACCAATGTTTCTACCCTAATGTCAATATTCTACCAATGTTTCTACCCTAATGTCAATATTCTACCAATGTTTCTACCCTAATGTCAATATATATTCTACCAATGTCAATTTACCAATGTTTCTACCCAGACCAAATATAATGTCAATCAATATATACCAATGTTTCTACCCTAATGTCAATATATACCAATGTTTCTACCCAGACGTCAATATATACCAATGTTTCTACTCAGACGTCAATATATACCAATGTTTCTACTCAGATGTCAATATATACCAATGTTTCTACTCAGACGTCAATATATACCAATGTTTCTACTCAGACGTCAATATATACCAATGTTTCTACTCAGACGTCAATATATACCAATGTTTCTACTCAGATGTCAATATATACCAATGTTTCTACTCAGATGTCAATATATACTAATGTTTTTACTCAGATGTCAATATATACCAATGTTTCTAGCGAGATGTCAATACTGTGCCAACTGTTCTACCCTGATGTCAATACTTTAACAATGTTTATACCCTAAAGTGAATAGGGTACCAATATTTCTACCCTAATTTTAATACTATATCATTATCTTAACCCTAGTGTCAATACAGTACCAATATGTCTACCAAAATGTCAGTACTGTACCATTATTTCTACCATGATGTCAGTACTATACCAATATTTCTATAAGTACTATACCAATATTTCTATCTGTGTACTCTACTTTTAGTACTAAACCAACATTTCTAACCAGGTGTCAATACTATACCAATTTTTCTTCCCAGATGTCAGTGCTTTTCAATTTATTTATTTTTTAAACCCGGATGGCAAATACCAACCTTAATGTTAATACTATACCCATGTTTTTTTTACCCTGATGTCAATACTATACCAGTTATTACCCCAAACTCTGTACTGTACCAATGTTTCTACCCAGATAGTAATGTTATACCAATATTTCTACCTTGATGTCAGTTCTATACCAGTATTCCTACCCTTTGTCAAAATTTTGCTGATATTTCTACACTGATATGTCTACACTGATATGTCTACACTGATATGTCTACACTGATATGTCTACACTGATATGTCTACACTGATATGTCTACACTGATATGTCTACACTGATATGTCTTCACTGATGTGTCTACACTGATATGTCTACACTGATGTGTCTACACTGATATGTCTACCCTGATATGTCTACACTGATATGTCTACACTGATATGTCTTCACTGATGTGTCTACACGTCTACACTGATATGTCTACACTGAGATGTCTACACGGATATGTTTTCACTGATATGTCTATACTGATATGTCTACACTGATATGTCCACACTGATATGTCTACACTGATATTTCTACACTGATATGTCTATACTGAAATGTCTTCACTGATATGTCTACACTGATATGTCTACACTGATATTTCTACCCTGATATGTCTTCACTGATGTGTCTACACGGATATGTTTTCACTGATATGTCTACACTGATATGTCTACACTGATATTTCTACCCTGATATGTCTTCACTGATGTGTCTACACGGATATGTTTTCACTGATATGTCTTCACTGATATGTCTTCACTGATATGTCTATACTGATATTTCTACACTGATATGTCTTCACTGATATGTCTTCACTGATATGTCTATACTGATATGTCTACACTGATGTGTCTACACTGATATGTCTACCCTGATATTTCTGCCCAATATTTCTGCACTGATATTGCTGCCCTGATATTTCAACTCTGATATGTCTACCCTGAAATTTCTGCCTGTTTTCCAGGATCAGCAATGGTTTGCGGTCTGTCGTCTACTCCCAGGGTGTGAAGCACGGAACCAACTCTGACTGGGAACTGGTGTTTGACAGATACACGAAGGCCATTGTCCCGTCCGAACGACGCATTTTACTTCATGCCCTTGGATCTACCCTTGACGGCAGGCTCCTGCAGATGTAATTATTGTCGGCTTTTCACGTACAAATAATTGTCTGGCGGGCACTGATGTACAGAGTGCTTTGCCCTGAGTTACTGTCGTGTGGGTTATGTTGAGAAAGGCTCCGGCTGAAACGTTGATGTGTCTGTTTTGTGCAGGTTGTTCCGCTTTCATCAAGCTTTTTTCAGTCACTGATAAGCAGATTAATTTCTAGATAATTGTCACAGAACTAATGAGGATGTAGAGGTTCTCGTGCAACAGAACTAGGGCCCATATTGGTCCAGACCTTACTAAACCTCTCTGTGGTCATCCTGGATGCAGGTTTTGCACCAGATGCCTGGCCAGTGGAGATAGAGTTGATGTTTGCACCCGTCTGAGAGGTGGGGAACCTACAATCTGCACACAAGCCTGATCTGTAAAACAGATTTGTTCACAAAGCCAAAGTTCTGGAACGAGAGGAAAGTCCAGAAGTGGATGAACTACCTGAATCTTCCACCAGAGTTTACAGCCGGTGAATGCAAAGAAGAAAAAGAATTCTGTTTATATCCATACAGCTTGTAGTTGATTCCCCCAGCATGTCCATTCTGTCCTGTACAATCATTTTGATTTCTTACTGTTTGTCATAGAATTCACTCTACTTCAGTCTATATTTTTTCCAATTTCACTGAATGTTTTGGGATTTTATTTCTCTGGTTAATCTCGGTTTGTACCCATTATATTGTCATCCTGTGTCCCTTATAACTGTTGACACCACAATTGTTCAGTTATTTCTCTGATTTCTTCACCTGTCTTGAGCTTATCCCATTTAAACTTCATCATAACTACCACAGGATAGATAGTGCCCTGCTGAGAGCTCTGTCACTCAGACCATTCGGAAACAGAGCTAGAGGTCACCCACACATACTGTGGAATATCCGAGGCCATAAATGTGAATGCAGATATCTTCATAACACTCACAGAGGCCTCTACAAAACCTGATGCTGAATTGCAGAACTTTCTGTCTGGGTTACCTGGCTCCATTTTGGAGAACCCACTGCTTTCCTAATAAGCATGTCACAGGATTTGGCCAATCAGGGGTGTTTTCCTCAGAGTCGGAGTGCATCTTTCTGAGAGGCAGAGAACAAACAGCCTGCATAAAGATAAGCCAGACCTGTAAAATGGATGCACATACAAAACACAAGATCCAAGTCCAGGAGAGGATGAACAACCAGAATTTTCTACCGGAGTTGCAACCAGTGAATGCAAAGAAGAAGAAGAAAGGATGAACAGGATCTAGAGAAAAGAAAGAACAAGAATGTTCCTAAATTTTCTACGGCATTTGTTTTTAAACGTATTTAATGTTAATTCCACGCTGTTGTGGTTTTCACAAAGGGTAATAAGATTTCTGGTCAGTATGATGCATAGGTAGATTTACAGTTTTTTTTTTTTTTTTAAGCCATTGCAAATTCATGACAGAGTTACCATTGTGTTTTCCTCCATATGTCAACTAAAAGGATATAGATTCATCGCCCAGCTACTGAATTAAGTGCATGGCCCAACACTGTGAGATGCAGATTTCATTTGGAATACTTTTCTTATAGGACTGATGGTACCTTATGCGATTAATTATATGTGCAACTAATGTGTCATAACTGACGCTTCTAGTGCTGGACTGTGTTAGCACTTCTGATGGCAGCCTTATGCATTTAGTGCATGGGTAGGCTGTTAGCCCTGCTAAGACTACAGTCTGTTTTAATTTTTTTCCACAAGGGACAGTGATGGACATTGTGGTTTTCATTGCTACAGGAAGGGAGGCAACTCTAGGGTGGCTTATTGACTGTAAAGATGATTACCTGACTACCTGAAATGACAACACAGAAATGGAAACTGCCAAGAACTATGAATACTTTGACTTCATAATTGACAACAATAACATTTCAGTCATCTTCTTTCTTTTGTCAATATCTGCTAATGCCGCTAGGTGTCACAGTTCATCAGACAATCGACAACCGAGCCAGGGCACGCTTGGTCGCTTGATATGCCTTGATGTTATGCACTCAGGGTGTCAGTGACCCCTTCAATCCATATTCTTCTCGGTCTTCCCCTGCCTCTTGGTGTTTTGATTTTCAGGTTGTACGCTCTTGCTGTTTGTATAGTTGGTTTCAGTCTCATTAGATGGCCAAACCATTTCATTCTTTGTTTCTCCATAAATTTGACGAAGAGTGTTGTTCCAACAGTTCTTGTGATCACATCGTTTCTCACTCGATCTCTTGTGGTTTAATTCACAGCCATTCTCAAACATCTCATCTCACAGGTGGTTAGTTTTCTCTCATGTTCTTTACATTTCAGTACACTGAGCAAAACAAACCTTGTGCCATTTTGCAGGCTGCTGAAATATGGCCTGGATGATTCTAAAGTCAAGTCGCAGGACAGCGAGTCTGTGCTGACCGGTGTAGCTGGGAACCGCAACGGGCAACTGTTTGCATGGAAGTTTCTCCGAGAACATTATGACACCATCTTTGAAAGGTGAGTTCTTGTCTCTTCTTTGCTCCCTCCTTTACCGCTTCAGGATTGGAGAAGGTAAGGTTCGGTTCATACTTTTCTGGCCACCTCAGCTATAGAGACTGAATACTTTTTTTTCTCTAGTCGTTTTCCACCAAGAAAATTGTGAAAAGATAAGGTTAGAGAATCTCCACAACAGTATCAAGTCAAACAGGATCAGAAGTAACGATATCCAGTGTGGGTTCCGTGACCCCATTGTGGTGGAAGAAGAGATCAGATCCACTGCTTTCATAACAAACATGTTGCAAAAGTCAACTAATTAGTAGTTTCCTTCAAAGTGGGAGTGCATCTGCCTGAAAGTATGGAACCAACAGTCTGCATACAAAGAGTCAGGTCTGTAAAATGGATTTGCACACATAACTCAAATTATAAAGCAAGTGGAGGAACAACTAGAACTTTCTGTGGGAGTTTACAGCTGGTGAATACAAAGAAGAAAATGAAGAAGAAATGACAATATCAGGAAACAAGTTGGGATTGAACCACTGCTATACAACATCAGGAGACAATAAGTCATGTTTGGTCATGTGTCAAGATTGTCACCAGACAGTGCCCAGAGAGCAACCTGTGTCAAGATTATCACCAGACAGTGCCCAGATAGCAACCTGTGTCTAGACTATGACCAGACAGTGCCCAGAGAGCAATCTGTGTCAAGACTACGACCAGACAGTGCCCAGAGAGAAACCTGTGTCAAGACTACCACCAGATTGTGCCCAGAGAGAAACCTGTGTCAAGACTACCGCCAGACAGTGCCCAGAGAAAAACCTGTGTCAAGACTACCACCAGACAGTGCCCAGAGAGCAACCTGTGTCAAGACTACCACCAGACAGTGCCCAGAGAGCAACCTGTGTCAAGACTACCACCAGACAGTGCTCAAAGAGCAACCTGTGTCAAGACTACCACCAGACAGTGCCCAGAGAGCAACCTGTGTCAAGACTAGCACTAGACAGTGCCCAGAGAGCAACCTGTGTCTAGACTATGGCCAGACAGTGCCCAGAGAGCAACCTGTGTCAAGACTACCACCAGACAGTGCCCAGAGAGCAACCTTTGTCAAGACTAGCACCAGACAGTGCCTACAGAGCAACCTGTGTCAAGACTACCACCAGACAGTGCCCAGAGAGCAACCTGTGTCAAGACTAGCACCAGACAGTGCCCAGAGAGAAACCTGTGTCAAGACTACCACCAGACAGTGCCCAGAGAGCAACCTTTGTCAAGACTAGCACCAGACAGTGCCTACAGAGCAACCTGTGTCAAGACTACCACCAGACAGTGCCCAGAGAGCAACCTGTGTTAAGACTACCATCAGACAGTGCCCAGAGAGCAACCTTTGTCAAGACTAGCACCAGACAGTGCCTACAGAGCAACCTGTGTCAAGACTACCACCAGACAGTGCCCAGAGAGCAACCTGTGTTAAGACTACCACCAGACAGTGCCCAGAGAGCAACCTGTGTCAAGACTACCACCAGACAGCGCCTAGAGAGAAACCTGTGTCAAGACTACCACCAGACAGTGCCCAGAGAGCAACCTTTGTCAAGACTAGCACCAGACAGTGCCTACAGAGCAACCTGTGTCAAGACTACCACCAGACAGTGCCCAGAGAGCAACCTGTGTTAAGACTACCACCAGACAGTGCCCAGAGAGCAACCTGTGTCAAGACTACCACCAGACAGCGCCTAGAGAGAAACCTATGTCAAGACTACCACCAGACAGTGCCCAGAGAGCAACCTGTGTCAAGACTAGCACCAGACAGTGCCTACAGAGCAACCTGTGTCAAGACTACCACCAGACAGTGCCTACAGAGCAACCTGTGTCAAGACTACCACCAGACAGTGCCCAGAGAGCAACCTGTGTTAAGACTACCAACAGACAGTGCCCAGAGAGCAACCTGTGTCAAGACTACCACCAGACAGCGCCTAGAGAGAAACCTGTGTCAAGACTACCACCAGACAGTGCCCAGAGAGAAACCTGTGTCAAGACTACCACCAGACAGTGCCCAGAGAGCAACCTGTGTCAAGACTACCACCAGACAGTGCCTAGAGAGCAGCCTGTGTCAAGACTACCACCAGACAGTGCCCAGAGAGCAACCTTTGTCAAGACTACCACCAGACAGTGCCCAGAGAGCAACCTGTGTCAAGACTACCACCAGACAGTGCCTAGAGAGCAGCCTTTGTCAAGACTACCACCAGACAGTGCCTAGAGAGCAACCTGTGTCAAGACTACCACCAGACAGTGCCCAGAGAGCAACATGTGTCAAGACTACCACCAGACAGTGCCCAAAGAGCAACCTTTGTCAAGACTACCACCAGACAGTGCCCAAAGAGCAACCTTTGTCAAGACTAGCATCTGACAGTGCCCAGAGAGTAACCTGTCACTTATATACAATTTAAGCAGGTTTAAAGGTCAACCGCACAAGTTATGGATAGATGAAATATCTGAGGCCGTGAATACCAGCATCTACATCTTCTTCTTCTATCTTCTCTCACCCAGTGGATCATAGGCTCTCAACCAACTCAAGTCGTTCTGTCCTTCACTGTTGCATGCAGCTCACCCAGTGTATTCCTTATCTTGTTTAACTTCACTCTCTAGCTCTCTTTTCCATGTGTGTGGGGTTTTTTTTTTCTGCCTTTATTTCTGTGCCCATCTGAGTTCCAGTAGAAAGTCATGCTAGTTATATTATTGTTCTTAGGTTTTCTAAACATGTTTCCTGTAAAACGCCAGCGTTGTTTCTTCACCTCTTGGTCCACAGGAACTTAGCATCTACACAGCACACATTTAGGTTTGCATGAGCTGCAAAATCTGGCAAGAAAGGTTGAAAAAGGACTATAAAAAGAATAAGGGGAATTAAAATTACACACACAAATCAAACATAGCATGTTATGGTAATATATTCTTGTATTTTTTGTCTCCCAGGTTTGGCAGTTCTTCGTTTCTGATGTCTGACATTATCGAAGGGATCGTTGCCAGCTTTAATACACAGTTTGACTATGATGAGGTAGGTAGCATATTACCTTTGTGAGTGGGTATGGTGGGTGCAGCTGAGTTAAGATTGTCTTTTTGAGTGGGTACTGTGGGTACAACTGAGGTGAGGGCAACAATACCTTTGGAGTAGAGTTGGCCGGCTTGATGTTGCCACATCAGCCATTGAGTGCCAGTTGGTTATAAAAATATAAGTCCAGCATTTCAAGTGCCAGAGACATAAAAAAATCCTTTACTTTAACTTATTTCTTCTTCTTCTCTTGTGCATTCGCCAGCTGTAAACTCTGGTGGGAATTCTGTTTGCTTGTCCACTTGTGTAATTTTTGTTTGTTCCAGAACTTGAGTTTTGCATGCAAATTGATTTTTATCAATCTGGCTTATTTGTATGCAGACTGTTGGTCCCTTGCCTCTCAGGTAGATGCACTCTTGACTTTGAAGGAAGCATCCCTAATTAGAACACAAGACTATGCCAGTGTGTGTATACTTAGCGATTCTGTGAGCATGATCCGGATGATCCAAGTAGGTTCTGTGCAAAAGCAGTAGACCGAGCCATTACTGAAGTCCACTGTGCTTAACATCGTCTTTATCTTCATTCCGGGGCACAGGGGCGTCGATGAAAATGAAAGGGCTGATAAGTTGGCTGAATCCGTTATCACTGCTGAAGGTCAAACCATGGATCATGCTGATATTATTAATGCCCCCTGAGAAGTGGGAAGGGTGGAGGACTTTTGAGAAAGCGATTCCACATCGCTCACCAGAATGAAAGACTCAGAAGTTAAGATCGGCCTAGCCAAAAGTGAGGGACAGTCAACACAGAACTCGCACAATTAGTCACAGGACGCTAGGGTTCTTATTAAAGGAAGGATCTGAGCACCTATGGACATGTCTGGAATGCAATGATCATGTCGCAACTAACTGACTGACTATCTCTAATTACTTGCTTGTTGGAGGGGAGGGGGGAAGGGGAAGTAGATCTCTTCCTTATCCACCCCAAATTGGTGCCATCGAACCCACACGGGGACTGTACAAATAATCTGTCTGGCATCCTTGTTGTTGCTGGTGTTAAAAAAACAAAAGACTTTGTTTTCTTGCTGTATATGAATCTGTCCAACGTGGCAAACAAAAATATATATACAAACCACTTGTTATCCTGACCCTCTTGTTCTCCTTTTCACCGCCAGGTTGTTGCTTTCTTCAAGAACAAAAAACTGGGAACCGCCAAGCTGACGCTGCAGCAGTCGCTGGAATATATCAGGAGTCACATTAGTTGGGTCAAAGATTACATGCCCACTGTCAAAACTTGGATTCGAGAAAACACAAAACTATAATAAATTGGGCTCTAAAGTTTTACAATTCAGATATAGTCTGTTATAAATTTGATAGAAATATCACGTGTTATTACTCTAAAAGAACAAATACAACTGTTTTTAAAACACGTACACACACATACACACATATATAAATGTGTGTGTTGTAGGATTTATTAACTAAGTATTAATGAAACTCAGAATATCGTAATTTCCATACACACAAAAATCTGTACCCCAAAAAAAAAAAAAAACATTCGACAGTATGAAACAGTTTCTAATTTGTAAACAGACTAGTCATTATTCTGCGTCTTAGAACAGGACACAATCGACTTTGCAGCCACATGTAAATGAAATTTAAAATGGCGAATCAGCCATGTGCACATGTGGATTGGCACCTGAAACAACAGATCATGTCCTCCAAGACTGTCCCAAATACAACAAATCAATGCACTTCTTTTGGCCAAGGGAAATATTGGTGCAAGTCACACTTTAGGGGTCACTGAGTGAATTACAAAAGACAGTGAAGTTCATACCAGAGACTCCTTCGAAGTCAGAGTACAGCTGCCCATGAGGCAGGGAAATGAAAAAACGGTTGTACACGCAAAAATCAGGTCCAGGTGAAAGCCAAAAGTCCAAGCGGACGATTAACCGTGACCTTCCACTGGAATTCACAGCCGGTGATCGATTAAAAAAAAAAAAAAAATACCAGAGACAACATTGCAGATATAGATAATTTATTTCAAGCGAACAAAAGAAGAAGAAGTTGAAGGTTAAACTAGAGTGTTATTAAATGTTGTATTTCAACATCAGAAGATGGGGATGGAGTGCTTATAGGAATGCCCCAAGTATCATGATGGTGATTGTTAATTTAGCATGCTATGTAGTGAAATATTTTATAAACCATTTTGAGTTGCACATTCCATTCTCTGATGCTCCGTTCAAGTTATTTAACTATGTTTATCTTGTCAGTTTGTTGTGTGTCCTAGTTTTTTTTTTTTTTTTTTTTTTTGTTTAGAAAAACTTTTTTCACTATTTTCTGTTTGTATGTTCTTCATACCTATCTTCTCCTGCTGTCCCTTTTCTTCCATGTGTGAGGTTTGAAGGGCAGAAAGTCAGGTCACTGTGCCCAATTGTAACCCTTTATTTGTTTTTCCTTTCCTTCTTGTTCCCCTTCTCTTTCATACACCTTCGGAGGACAGCCTGAAAATGTTTTAATAATCCGAGTTCTCAAATCTCCATCAGTTTGTCCTCAGTAGGTGCTCCGTTATTTATTTATATTTGTGGGCCTCAACATGTGCAGGTTTTGATGCGTGATTTTCCAACCCTAATCTCCATAGTCTTCTACTCTCCCTTTGTCTGTTCCTGGTTTCTTTTTTTTTTTTTTCAAGTCTGACAAATATAGATAATTGTGCTTTATATAAATTATTGATTGCTTTCTTTTTAGTTTGTTTCAAGTTTCAATGTTGATCTTACATTGTTCAGTTTTTCTTCAAACATTTAACATGAATTATTTGTGTGTGGGGTTCTGTGATTTAGAGGTTAGTGAGGTTGTTTCACTTGGTCTGACATACAAGGCTATTCCAAAATCAACTAACAATTGGCTGGTAAAAAAATAACCCTTTTCTATATTAACACCATTCATTGTCTGCATCATTTGGTAGTTTTTTAGCTACACATCAGCCTACAGTCACTTTTGTTCATTGGTTCATAAATTGCAAATGAATAAACATGGACTGTTACTTTTTCCACTCACTGTGAAATTCATGGTGTGATTCCTGTTTTTTTTTTAATGCAGAAAGTCAAACAAGCCAACAACAAAATTCAAACAAGCATTTTTGCAAAGAAAAATTGGGGTTACTGAGTTCTGGAACCACAAGGAAATTTTGTTTATGGAATTCATGAGACAAGGGACCATGATAACATAAAAAGTATATTGAAATGTATATTGTGAAACACCGAAGAAGCTTTGTCTGTCAATCCAAAACAAAAGGTGCTGAATGCTCACCAGTGGCATCATTATACTGCACAGTAATGCACGAGCCCATGCTTCTAGGTATTTCTTGAGAAGTTTAAGTGGGAAATGTTTTAATAATCTGAACTGTCGAATCTCTATCAGTTTGTCCTCAGTAGGTGCACAGTTATTTCATTTTTTGTTGGCCTCAAAATGTGCAGGTTTTGACACGTGATATTCCAGCCTAAATCTCTCTTGTCTTCTACTCTGCATTTGTCTGGGTTTTTTTTTTTTTTTTAATGGGACACATATAGATAGTTGTGCTTTAATTTATTATTGATTGTTTTGTTTTTGTTTTAAGTTTGGTTAATGTTTTAATGTTGATCTTGCATTGTTCTGTTTTCTTCTTATAACATTTAACATGATTTATTTGTGTGTGTGGTTCTGTGGTTTAGAGGTTAGTGAGTTTGTTTTACTTTGTCTGACATATGAGGGCTATTCCAAAATCAACTCCCGACTGGCTGGAAGATTAACCCTTTTCCATAGCAACACTGTTCATTGCTTGCATCATTGGTAGTCTTTTAGCTCGCTACACATCAGCCTACATACAGTCTGGTTTGTTCATTGTTTTATGAATTGCAAACAAATAAACATGGACACTGTTACTTTTCCCACTAACTGTGAAATTCGTGGTGTGATTCATTTTCTTCAAACAGAAGGTTTAACAAGGCAACAAAAAATTTAAGCAAGCATTTTTGCAAGGAAAAACTATGGTTAGAGTGTTCTGGAACTGCAAGGGAATTTTGTTGACTGAAATAATGAGATAAGGGACCACAGCAATGTCAGAAAAAGTATATTGTGAAACACTAAAGAAGCTTCAGCAGTCGATCCAAAACAAAAAGTGCGTAATGCTCACCAGTGGCGTCATTATCTTGCACAGCAGTGCACGACCCCACTGCTCACAGAAAGGTTTTTCTTAAAAAGTTTAAGTGGGACATTTTCTGCACCTCTTCCCCCTCACTCCCCGCTCCCCCTCACCTTCTCACCTCATAGCCCAGAATTGACACCAATCGATTGTGATTTCTTTGGCAAAAGGAAGGTCTGGTTGCTACCCATCACAATGACACTGCTGAGGAGCTTATGGATGGGGTCAAACTCTGGCAAAGTACCCTGGCGGGGCCATTCCCTCTTGTGAGGATACACAAATTTGTGCCATGGTACCACAATTGCCTGAATTTAGGCGGTAACTATGTGAAAAAGCAATGCAGTGATGTATGTAGCTTTTATATTTAGATGTTATTGTTAATTTGTTTACATTTTTAACAGTCAGAGGTTGATTCTGGAATAGTCCTTGTACATCCGTCTTGATAAGGATTTAAACCCTAAATCAATTGTTCCAAGGATGTTTGACTTACAGAGCCCAGTTAAGAATCAGTTTTTTTTTTTTTACGGAGCCTCTTAAGACCAACCCACCCTATCTTACGAGTTAATGCTGTTTAGCAGCAATATTATGAAATGGAGGCAAAGGGGGTAAAAAGTCAGGGAATGTAAAGAAGAGATATTTTTAAACAGTTTACCCCATGTCCATCCTGTAAAATTATGTTTCAAACACTGGAATTTAGTTTAATTGCACTGGAACCCACAGAGGCATAGAAATAAGGCAGACACACACACAAAAAAACGTGGATAATGAAGCTAAAGAGTACAGTCAAAAAAATGGGATGACTTGGGGTGACTTAGGCTGCATGCAGTAGTGAAAGTAATGACTTGGTTTTGAGTTCGTTAAGAGCCTGTGCTTTTTTTGGGAAATGGATGGCAGAAGGAGAAACATTTATTTTAATTTTTAATTTTTTTTTAAACTACTACCAACACGCATAATATTTTCAAAATCTGGATGTAAAAAAAACTTCTTCCACAGATCAGTAAATAAGAATTTACGGCAGCCGCTGTAGTGTAGCGGCTAGATGCTTGGCTGCAGATCCCATTTTTTCAAACATGACATTGGCTTCCATATGGACCCAGCCTTAAATGGTCCCCGGTAAAATCCTAGGAAGTAAAAATGGCTAGTGTGATGTTGACCGCATTGCAAACCAAGGGCTGATTGGTCTATAAAAATACGACTCTGACCTCAAATGCAATAGCAGACTACTGAACGTACATTTTCCTCGGAAAACCGCAGCAGGTTGGTTCTTCAGCATCCTGCAACAGAATGTGCATCTGACAATGTTTCATCCAGCAAAACCCTGAGGAAAATAGTGGTCATAAAATAAGATGAATTCAAGAGGGGTGGAAAAATAAAAGAAAGGTCTGGGCAACCACTGATAAGACCAAAGAAGATGGTGTTATATCTGACACATCCTGAGCAGAAATGAGCAGAGAATCACCAAATAGGCACTGCAATGGGAGATAAAGGGCAGCGAGGACGTCCAAAAGAAACCCTAAAATGAACGCTGATGCGAGACGTCAAACTCCTGGACTGAGTACCATCCATGATATTGAATGGATTGTACAGGATAGGACGGAATGGAGGAATAGACTGCCAGCCCTATGATAACGATGATGCTCCCTCCAGATTATAGGAGTTTACCTACTCTCAGATGTCATGCTGGCATTTGGTGTGTGCTTGAAACTCACTTGTTTTGTGAATCACAAGTTTTGTGAATCACAAGTTTTGTGAATCACAAGTTTTGTTAATCACAAGTTTTTTGCAATTATTGTCTGCGATTTTCTTTTTCCGTATTGCTTATTTGTTGTTATTGCTGTTGTTAATTATTATCAGATGTGGCTTGGTGGTGGAATGGGTGGTGTGTCTGCCATGAGGTGTGGACATTAAAAGACATGAGAAATGTGCCCAGAAATATTGGTTCCACATGTCTTTATCTGAGAACATGAATCGTCATGTAACTCGTATAACATTCTCACACACATTCGTTCACTCTTTATCTATCTATCTATCTATCTATCTATCTATCTATCTATCTATCTATCTATCTATCTATCTATCTATCTATCTATCTATCTATCTATCTATCTATCTATCTATCTATCTATCTATCTATCTATCTAT